GATCTTGCTGTATAGCCCAGGCTGACCTTGAACTTGGGATCCACTTGTCCATCTTCCTGAGTGCTGAGATGACAGGCATGTGCCACTGTGCCTGGCCCAGATTATGCCCTTAATCAGAAGGAAAAATTACTGTATTGGAAGGTGGATTTGGAAGACATGTGACTCTCACTTATAGAGACCATGATCTAGTTTTAGATGGTGGACAGTTGTTTTGTTTTGTTTTGTTTTTTTCTGGGGAGCCGTGGCTCAGCTGCTGTCTTTGTACTGGCCACAAGAACAGCCAGGTACAAGTTTCCAGGCCAGAGTAGGAGGAGCATGGTTTTCCAGAAAGCAGATAGGAGAATTCAGAGTGGGGTGCCAGAAGCTACTGACCTAGCAAATTGAAAGCCCCTCACAGGCCATTTGCAGGTTTAATACACTGCTTTTTTACTGTTTGCCCAAATAGCATCATGAAAGACAATGATCTGTGTTGCAGTCCTCTGATGAGTGCACCACACACACTCACTTCACTGAGGACCATGTACATACTCTCCCACAGTGTTCTGGTTTCACGTCCCAGCCGAAGCCAGACCGCCACGCTGAATGTCCTCTTCAGAGCACACACAGTAAGCCACATCCTTGCACACTGCCCGTGTACTCTGTCTTTATAGAAAATGGCTGCCACTTCGTGATCATTTTTTCTAGAAACAGGTTTTATGATAATATAGTAAAAATATTAAATTAGAAAATGCCTCACTAAGGGTTATAAAACCTTACTACACTAGAGATAGGTAATTATCCCCTCTGCAGCCTAAATGACAGTTTAAAAGAAATAAAAATGTTCATGCTCATTACTTGCTTTTGTAGGTTGTAATAAAGGGCGAGTTAAATTTTAATCCAAGGAAGAGCCCCTGCCGTCGACCCTTCCACCCTGGGTCTGAGTCCTGGTAATTACTCTTGCCTAGTCTATGTAATTCCAACATTCATACATGTTTTACAGTGGACATCGCCACTGGGCCATCGAGAGCAAGGGTTTGGAGATGAAGCAGGAAAGCATTTCAGAACCGAGATTCTTGTCTTTATTCCTGTGTGATCAGGAGCAGGAGTCTGTATTTGAAACAATAGCTTGCCAAGTTCATTATGCAGAGCCTTACAGGGACCTCAGCATCAATTCTCCAGTTACGCTGTAGACCCAGAGGGAGACGGGGTTAACCTGGAGAGCTGGTAGTAGATCCATCTACAGCCAGCTCTGCCCAGGAAGGACACGGCAGGGAAGGTAGCAGAAGCTGTCTGGCTGCCTTGTGGCTGCGTCAGCTGTCTCGCTTATATGTCGCCCTTAAGGTGGGAACAGGGTGTGCTGGATTGCCTTTTTTCAGGTGTTTCTCCCTCTCCCTCAGCTGACAGCAGACCCTGCAGCTGCTTGTGGGTGAGAAACTCTGAGCTTTCTATCCCTCCATCTTCATAAGGGCGCCTAAAGGCCTTCTGAGGAGATAGCAGGGATTGGAGATGAAACTCCAATCCAGTTGGAAATATGTGCTGTGCTCCGTGGCCTGTTTGAGCTGTCCTCAACCTGGCTCAAAGCCCACCCATGTAAAGTTAATATTTTCCGTATTCCGATAATTAGGTCCTTTTTACTCTTTAAATTTACTGAGAAAACTACATGGGCTGCCAAGGTGGCTTATGGGTTATAGGCCCTTGCTAGCAAGCCGTACAACCTTCAGTCCTCTGAACCCCCATGGTGGCAGGAGAGAACCAACTCCCACAAATTGTCCTCTGACCTCCACCTGTAACCAGGCGTGTGTACCCACACAAATATACACAAAAATAAACAAATAAAATACCACCCCAAATATATTACATGGCAGTTTAAATGTGTGATGGTATGCAGGGTTTATGTTATTTTTCCTGCAGGGCTGAGCTCTGGCTTTGCCAGAGTCACTTACATGCTCAGAGTCCAGTATAACTGGAGCCCTGATTTTTGGTGAGTGGGAGTGATGCCCTAGCCAAGGAAGTGATCTGGGACCTCAGGGAGGTGTTCTCCTTGGTGTCTCTGGAGCTGGAAGATGAGAGAAGAGAGGGAAGATGAGCCTGTGTTCCTGGTAAGAGGCAGTTTGAGCTCAAGTAGCAGAGGGCAGTGCATGAGGCTTTGGAAAATGCATATGGGAGTGGGCGAGTAAGTGCTAGATTTGTTTTTGATGTTTACGTTGGGATAATCCTTTCTTCACTCAGCCTGCCTCCCCCTCAATAATACATTTTAAGAACAGAGGCGACTTAATTTCCCGGGTTGCTTTGCCACAAGCAACTGCAGTGTTTGCCAGTTTTGCGACACTGAGTGTGAAATGATGTTCTCTTAAAACACAGGTTCAGCATTTCACTCTGCTCCTGACGTGTGACCTCTCAGTGGACAGCAGCTGCTGCCTCTGGTCCATGCACTGCGCTGCCATTGTGGAGCAGAGGGGAAGTGTTTGCTCCAGTGACGGCTCTGGGTGCAGGCTAGGAGGGGCAGCCTGAAGAACAAAACAGCACTTGGCCTGCTTCTCTCCTCAGCCGCCATCACCTTCAAGACATGCTGTCCTTTTTTTTTTTTTTGTCCTGGCATCTCTCTTCTTGGTTGAAGTGGCTAGAGAGGTCATGTTGGCAGATAGTTTGGCCATAATGTGAGGAGTGAAGGCAGGGCATGGCTGCTGGGAATCTGGAGGGTCAGCGTGTGGGTATTCATTTGCCTTTGGAGTGAGGCCTTTTTCCTTTAAGGGCTGGACAGGTGCCTAGAGCTAGGAAACAGTGGAATGTGTGGGGCTCAGAGCTAGTTGCCAGTTAGAGACTGTTGTTTCCTGTCTACAGTTTTTCTGCCTGTGCAGTAGTCCCCACACGACAGGGATGGTTCACATCTGCCTTCTGCCCTCCCTCCTTCTCTTCCTCTTAACTCTCCCTCCCTCTCTTCCTCCCTCCACTATGTTCTAACTTTTGGGGTTCCCATGTTAGCATCTCTTACTCCACAGCTACAGCAGGACGAGTGCTGAAGAGCTGAGCCAGCATCGTGGCACAGACCTGTAATGCCAGCACTGGTGGCAGAGGCAGGGAGGCCACAAGTTAAAGCCCTGTTAGAGCAAGAAAAAACAAAAACAGTTGGAAAGCCAGCTTCTCTTGGGTCAGAATGGCTGCTGGGAGTTCTCAGCAAGAACACTTCCAGGAACCCTTTTTCTCAACACAGTAGCAGGCTGTTGAAGGTTAGGTCTGAAGGGGTCAAGTCTGTGGCTCTCCTGGGATGTGGACTACCTGGCTTGTCAACTTAATCCTGTCTGGCTGCTCTCCCTTTCTGGGAAGTCATTGACGAGACCTTGGACAGAGCAGATGTGGACCCTTGCCCAGGGCCATCTTGTGCATTGGAACTCTGAGCTGCCTCCTACAGCAGGGCGGTTCTGCTCCCCATCTACCAAGGAACGTAGTTCCTGATTCTCCAGCCTGATAAGGCTTCCTTGCTATTTCAACCCCTTTGCTAGTTTCCAGGCTGAGCCAAGTGTGGTACATATAACAGCAATGGAAGTTGTAGTGATCATTTGCTGTAGTTTCTTAAAAAGATTTCTTTTTACTTTTAGTTGTCTGCACATGTGAGAGAGAGTGAGTGTGTGCATGTGACTAAGGAGGGCATCTGATATCTGTAGCTAGAATCACAGGTAGATGCGAGCTACCCAACATGGATGCAGGGAAACAAACTCTGCCTGGTCTTTTGAAGAGCAGCAAGGGCTCTTAACCCATAAGCCATCTCTCTGGTCCCCATTACTGTATTTTTAATGTCCAAATTCAGCTTTAAAGTTAGGCACAGTGGTGTGTTCCTATAATCCCAGCACTGGAAGGCAGAGGCAATAGGATCCAGAGTATGAAGTGTCAAAAACAGTGAGACCCCATCTCAAAATACAATGGGCTAGAGGGATGACTCAGCTGATAAAGCACTTGCTGTACAAAGGAGGGCCTGTGTATGATCTTGGCACCCACATAAAAAGCTGGGTAAGGGTGGTACACACTTACAACCCAGCACTGAGGAAATGGAGACAGGAGGATCCCTAGAGCTTTATTGACCAGCCACAGCCAGAGAGAAGCCCTGTCTCAGCACACAAGGTGGGTGGTTCCTAAGGAAAGGACTCATCCACCCATCCATGGCTAGTTTTATTTCATTGCTGTGGGGTGTGTTTATGATATACTTGTGCACATCTGTGTTTTCAGGTTCATACAGAGACCACAGAGGATGTCAGGCATCTTTCTCTTGCTGAACCTAGAGTACACAGTTGTTTTGGCTATCCTAGCTGGCCAGCAAGCCCCAGCGACCCTCCTGTTCCTACTCTTCCCCCAGCACTGAGGTTATTGAGTGCAGGGCACTGGAGAGCTAACCTCAGGATTATAGAGCAAGCATTTTACCCACTGAACCGCGACTCAGCCCAATAATGTTAATTTTTAAAATCTAACTTTAAAAATAAATTAGCCAACTAAATTATTTTTTAGATTGAGATTAGAGAATGGAGTGTGGGGGAGGGGTAGAATCCTGCTTCTGTTCTGAACCTCTGCACACATGATCGTAATTGGAATCTTGTTGCTGGGTCATTTTCATTGTTTTTCAAGTACTGCCAAGTCTCAGAAAATGTATGAAAACTAAATTATATCCCCTACATCCCATGTCTGATTGAATCCTCTCGTTGTGTGCCAGTCTCATATATCCTATTAAAATATTCAATCTTGTTTTCTTACTTGAAGAGCCTGTCTGTAAAGGGCAAACTTATAGAAAACTCATTCCCTGGAGACAGGGTATCCAGCACAGTGGACTATTTACATATTTCACTATGTGATTGGCTGCTTCTGGGTCTCTTCCTTCCCTCGTATTTGCGAATAAGTGCTCCGAGATGTGGTTCTTAATTACATGGCTGTGTTTTCAATTGAAGAAACAGATGAAGGTGTTTCCCAGTTTCTTGGTCTCTTTTTTAACCTTGAAAAGTTAAGCAGTGTGTTAACCAGTTTGCTTTATTTCCTAGGACCGAGTTGTATCGATCTCTTTTTGGCCAGCTCAACCGTCCTGACATAGATCATGGGGACTGACATTACCATCCTCTCACTCCTGACCCCAGTACAGGAGCCACCTGCTGCTTCCAGAAGAGGCTAGAATGACTTCAGGAAGTGGCGTCTGGGGACCCCTACGATGGTGGAGCTCATGCCTTCTGCATGAGAAAGCTCAGGCTCTGAGTCCTTCAGCCACCACAGGTATAGTCAGAGCTGGAGCCAAGGCTCAGGTTAAGAGCACTCCCTGCTCTTACACAGCACCCGGGTCCAGAGACTCACAACAGCCTCTAAGTGCAGTCCCAAGGACTTCGATGCCATCTTCTGACCTCTGTAATCGCCTCACTCAGGTGTGCGCACACACACCAGCATACAATTACAACCAAAATAAATTAAAAAATCTGTTGTCACTGTCATCACTGAGTTCTTGAGCCAGAGAGGTGGTCTAGAGTTAAATTGCACGGTGCCACACCTGCTGAGAGGGTTTTCCTTCTTCTAGCTAGATGGTCTCCTCACACAGTATAAAACTGCATTTCTGGCCCGTTCATCCCTGACTGCACACTTGGGCTGTTTCCCATCTAGACTATTGTGAGCGGTGCTGTGGGATCGTCTGACTGACCTTCACCTGTTAGCTTCCATTCCCTTTGGCACTTACCTGGCGCTGGGATTGCTGGACACTTCTGTCTGAATGTCTGTCTTTTTCTGGGTTGTTTGTTTGTTTGTTTGTTTTGTGTATGTGTGGACACAGACACAGACACACATGTGCGCGCATGCGCCTGCACAGTGCTGAGTGCCCAGGACTTCACAGGCTCTGAGCACATGTTCTACTTTCCAGCCCTTTTTCACTGCTTGGAGGATCCTCCATTATGGCCGCCATAAGTTTTGTCCCCCAGATAGTGCTCAAGAGCTCAAGTTGCTGCCTTACCAACATTTGTCATGACTGTCTTTGGTAAAAGCCATTTTATCAGGTGAAACTTCAATGTGGTTTTAATTTGCACTTCTCCAATGATCAGTGATATCCAGCATTCTCTAGTGAACCTCTTAGCCATTTGTATGTCTTCTTTGAGAAGTCCTTATTCTCAGTATGGATATTTGTTCTAAATACAGATGGATGTAGAAATGTGTATGTGTGCACAGAATTCTGTTCAGCTTTAGGCCAAGAAAGGATTCTGTCCTTGGTGACAGCATGGGTAGGCCCAGAGGACACTGCTAAGTGATATAAGCCAGGAACAGAAAGACAAAGATCTTACTTGTAAGCAAAGTCTAAAGTAGTCAACTCCCACATGTAGGCTGGTGGCTACAGCAGCTGGGAGGAGGATGGGCAGTTGCTCGTGTTCTATAGAGAGTTGTGTAGGCTGGAGGAGTGGGCTTTGAGGACCAGAGCAATGTGGGCAATAAATTCCAGATGTCTCACCATACACAAAAAAAGGTCAGTGTGGCTCTGGATTTGTTAAAGGCTCAGTTCAGGGGCCTGGAGTGATGGCTCAGAGGTTAAGAGCACTGGCTGCTCTACCAAAGGTCAGTTCGCAGCCATCACATGGAGGCTCATAGCTTTCTGTGAGATCTGGTGCCCTCTTCTGGTCTGCAGGTATACATACAGACAGAACATTGTATACATAATAAATAATCTTTTTTTTTTAATTCTTTTTATTTATTATTTATATAGTATTCTGCCCGCATGTGAGCCAGTAAGCCAGAAGAGGGCACCAGATCTCATTATAGATGGTTATAAGCCACCATGTGGTTGCTGGGAATTGAACTCAGGACCTCTGGAAGAGCAGCCAGTGCTCTTAACCTCTGAGCCATCTCTCTAGCCCCAATAAATCTTTCTTAAAGGCTCAGTTGAGCCACTTCATGCTATGGACATCTAGAATGTCACCCTTTAGACCGTGAATTTGTAGTTAGAATTTTCAATGAAAAATAGCAGTTGGGAGCAGAGGGTGCATCTCCTGGATAGAACACTTGCTCACAGGGTCCCGAAGCCCACAGCTGGGCCCTGAGGCTTCCTATTTGACTGTTTATGACTAGGGAGCCAACCCTGACTTCTCTCTCATTGCCTCTTCATCCCAGCGGAGACAGGTGGTCTTTGACTTCCAGGCTAGCCAGGGCTCTTTAGAAAAGATCCCTCAGGCCCTCCTACTCCCCTTCCTCATCCCCGTTGAATTTAGCTAGTGTAATCCAGCCAGAGGAGGTGACTCACATGCACTCATCCAGAGGTAAGAAATAATGGCTACAGACAGCTGGGTACAGGCTTAGTTAACCAGACCTTCCCCCCGCCTCCCCTCCTAGAGGTTTTCTCTCTGTAGCCTTGGCTGTCCTGGAATTCACAGAGATCCTCCTGCCTGTGCCTCCCTGAGTTCTGGGATTACAAGGGTGTACCACCCCTGGCTATCCAGCCATAAGTCAGGTTTTGATAAAACTTGGTGACAAAGTTTCTTGGACAGGAGTCCTATGTGTGGTTCGCTTGTGATTCAGGACCACTGCATAGTAGTAGCAGGCCAGGCTTCAAGCAGAGAGTGTTGTATAAATGAGTTCAACGATGGAATTTTCAAGTTGGCAGGGGCTGCTGGAGGGCGCAGCTTTTCCTCTCTTCCTAACTGCCTGTGCATGTCGATCCCACATTACCTCTTAGACTTGACTGTCAATGAAATGCTTAAACTTAGGCCCCCAGTCACTCAGAAAATGAGTCAGCAGAAACCAGTGGGTCCCACACACAGGCCTGTCTCTAAACGGTCACTTTAAAATACCCCAAGCAGTCCCATTCCAGGGCCAGAGCCAATGCTCGAAGAACAGTGTGGGCATGAGCTCATGGGGAACATCTGGGGGCCGATGCAACCCAGAAAGACCCGGGGAGGAAGGCTTACAGATAACTCAAAATGACTGGAGCCCAGAGTTCAATTAAAATGAGTTACAGACAGGAGAGATGAAAAAGGAAGGGGAGAGAATTCTCACTAAAAGGTAGATGTGCATTTTAAAATGCAGAAGACCACCCTCCTTCCAGCCAGGAATAAATTGGAAACTATTTTAATTGACATGGATCCTGCAATTCAGCTGCTACCAGAAAGATGGATTAGTTGATAGATTTGCATTTTAATAAAACTAATACTTTACATTTGCTAGCTAACGCTGATTTCCAAATGAGAAGTTATCTGGAGTTCCTGTGCCCAGCTCTCCGCAGTGGTGACTGGAGCATCTTTCATGTGGGGTTTGCTGGTCTAATTTTGCCCTGCCTACTGCCTCATACCAGTCGTCGTCCCTCACTCTCCAGCAGGATGGTGGGCAGGAACTGGGTAGGCATGCTCTTCCCCAGCGGCCATGACCCTCAATGGGAGCGATGTTGTTTTGGAAGACCTGGACTTTTCCTCGTGCTGGGATGCAAACCCAGAGCATTGAACATGCTAAGCACGCTCATCCACCACTGAGCTGCTACCACATGTCCAATACTTGACTTTTTTTTTTTTTTTTTTTTTTTTTTTTCATTTGAAGCTGGCTGATGGTGGTACACACCTTTAATCCCAGCACTTGGGAGGCAGAGGCCAGCCTGGTCTACAGAGTGAGTTCCAGGACAGCCAAAGCTACACAGAGAAACCCTGTCTTTAAACAAAACAAGAAAATTCTTTTATTTGTACTTTTTGTTTTTATTGAGACAAGGAGCCACCTGCCTCTGCCTCCCAGACTGCTTCATTTGCACTTTTAAAAACCAAATACTTGGGGCTGAGGTGCAGCTCATTGGTGGGAGGCGTGCGGCCATATATACCACCTCCCCGATCAATACCACAAAGCACACACCCAGTGAGGACCAGTGGGCACAGGTTCTGCATGCCCTGGAAAAGCTGTCGTCCATGTCCATACACACGCCACGCTGGACCCACTCACTACTGACTCCTTTTGGAGCAGCGTCAAGTATTTAGCCAGCTCCTTCTTGGACACGTTTCTGGATGGTATATCCTTGAGCAGCTACACTGCAGCAAGGGAGCTGTGAGCTTGCAACCTGTTCTCGGGATCTTTGTGGTAGTCCTCCTTCGGGAATCAGTGGCTGCCTGTAAGGTACTTTGCCATGGCAAGATGGTGGGTAATAAGGAAGATATACTGTCCTCTACCTCTCCCAGCCTCTGCACTTCCAGATTCCTGTAATTGCTTCAAACTCCCTCTGGTCTCCACCCCACCTGAGCTGCTCCAATGCCTTCACCTGGCGATCAAACTGAGGTGATCAGGCTAGTGGACTGTTGTCCTTACCCACTGAGCCAACCCTGGGGAGGCTGAACACGGGCCATGAGTTTCAGGCAGTCCTGGGCTACCTCAAGAGACTCTGTCTCAAAAATGAATAAATAGGGTCTGGAAAGATGGCTCAGTGGTTAAGAGCACTAGATGCTCTTCCAGAGGACCCAGGTTCGGTTCCTGGCACCCACATGAAGGATCACAACCGTCTATAACTCTAGTTCCAGAGAATCTAACGTTCTCTCCTGGCCTTTTTTGACACCAGACATGTATGTGATGCACAGATACACATGGAGACAAAAACAAAATTTAAATAACAAAAAGAATACATAGGGAACCAGAGTTTGGTTCCCAGCCCCCACACTGAGCAGCTCACAACTGCCTATAATTTCCAGGGAATATAATGTCTCCTTCTTGTCTTTGTGGGCACCTACATATGTACACATACACACCAATTAAATAAATAGATAAATAAAATCCAAAAAATAAAATGTTAAAAACAATAAATAGGCTGGGTGGTGGCACAGGCCTTTAATCCTAGCACTCTCAGGAGGCAGAGTAGATCTTTGTGAGTTCAAGGCCAGCTTAGTCTACAGCATGAGTTTCAGGACAGCCAAGGCTACACAGAGAAATCATGTCTTGAAAAAAAGAAAAACCAGAATTTGGGGCCTGGAGAGATGGCTCAGTAGATAAAAGCACTGGCTGCTCTCCCAGAGGTCCTGTATTCAATTCCCAGCACCCACATGGTGCCTATCTATCAAGGGATCTCATGCCCTCTTGTGGCATGCAGGTGTATATGCAGCAGAGTGCTCCTACATAGGATGGATGGATAGGTAGGCAGGTAGGTAGGTAGGTAAGTAGATAGATACAGAGATAGATACATAGATAAATACATAGATAGATACGATTTTTTTAAAAATCAAATAATCATCAGGGCTGTGGTATAGCTTAGTGGTAGGGTTAATGCTTAGCATGTACAAGGCCCTGAGTTTGATTCTCAGTTCCAAAGGGAAAAGGCAGTAGATCCTTTTATTCTGTGTGGAACATTTATATCCAAATGTATTTGTCAAAAGAAGACACATATGAAAAAAGTTCAGCATTAATCAAGGAAGCATAAACCATAATGAAAACTGTAATGATGCATTTCTATAATCCCAGCATTGGAGGTGGGGGGCTGAGGCAGGAGGATTCCTGGGTG